AAATTATAGTCATTTATAGTAATTTTTAGAAAATTTTAGTCAGTTTTGGTAATTTACGGTAATTTATAAAATAAAAATACGTTTTTTCAATATTATTGATTAAATACATAGAAATTGGAATTTTAGTGCAATTTATGGTAATTTATAGAATTTTAGTGCAATTTATGGTAATTTATGACAATTTAAGATAATTTTACCAAATTTTTTTTTTTTTTTTTTTCTTTTTATAATAATATTTTTTATAGAATTTTTTGTAATTTTTATTTAAGTCACATAACTATTTATGGTAATTTATCGAGAGAAAAAGATATCTTGCAATTTTTCAAAATATTCTTGTTGATTAATTTGAAAATTTCCAGTAATTTTGAAAAATTTACTTTTTTAGTTATTTGCTTCTAATTTAGGTAATTTACTGTAACATATTGTATTTTATGGTGATTTTTTTGTAATTTGTGGCAATATATGGTAATTTTTGACAACTTTTGATAATTTTTTATAATTTTTTGTAATTTTTTTTTTTAATATAGAAATTTTTTTGTAATTTTTCGAAAATTCTTGTTACGTAATTGGAAAGTTTATAGTTATTTACTAGAGTTTACCATCATTTTTGGTAAATTTCACTTCATTTTGGTAATTTATGGTAACTTAGGGTAATTTATGATAATTTTAGCTATTTTTGGTAATTTTAACCATTTTTTGGTAATTTTTTGTAATTTCTGGTAATTTTCCGTATTTTTTTGGTAATTTTTCATATTTCTTGATAACTTGTTAATTTATAGTAAATTATGATATAAATTTCGATTAATTTACCTAATTATTCATTTCCAGTGAATAGAAAATTTTTTTTCACTATAAAAAAATTTATATAAATTTTTTGTTGTATATTAAAAAATTGAAATTTGTTTTCAGTAATAATCGTTTCGTAAAAAAAATAATAAATAATAATTATTATTATTAATATTATTATTTTTCTATCGTTGAGTAGTAATAAAACTCGCTCTGTATTTTGTGTCGATTTGATTTAATATTTAGTGCGAAAATTTATAATAGGTATTATAGAGAGAATTTATTTGTAACTGGCGCTGTCGCGTTAAGCTATTATATTGATTATTATTATTATTACTATTATTATCGTCAATTTCGTTCTTTATTTTCTCGTTTAAAAAAAATATATATATAATAAATTCCCTAGTTTTTAAGTTTTTTTTCCTCTGCTTTCTCGTGGAATTATCGTTTAGTTTTTATTATTATTATTTTTTTTTTATTATTATTTTTTGCTGTCCAAGTCGGTGGTGCTTTCAGGCTACTCTCAAATGTCACGCTGTGAAACAAAAAAAAAAGAAAAAAGCAGAAAAAATTATTGACATTTTTATTTTATTGATGCCAAAGTGAAGAACAATTGTCTCTAATTATGTCGAGTCAATGTGTGTATATTTGTGTGGGTGACATGAGAGATGCGGCCAAATTGCAGAGTTTTTTTTTTAGTTTTATTATTATTATTATTTTTGTTCTAAGTTTTTCCTTTTTGTTTTATCGAGAATTTTTTTTTTGTTTAAAATAACCAACGAACTACGTGTGTTCTTTATTTGAGAAAAAAAGCCGAGTTCCGAATGACAAGAAAAATGATATTTTAAATGAATAATTAATTTTTTAGAATTATTATAAATAAAAAAATATTTTTTTTATTAAATAGTTTTTTGTTTGGAAAATATTTTTGTTTTGTAAAAAAAAAATTTATTTTAATTAATTAATAAAAAAAAGTTTACTCCTGTTTTTGTCAAAATAATTTTTTGTTTTTTTTTGTAAAAGAAAAAAAAATGTTGAATTTAAAATACTTTTTGTTTTGTTTAAAAGAAATTATTTAATTATTGAAAATATTTTTTTGTTTTATTTAGAAATTTTTTCTTGTCATGAACTCGATTTTGGTTCTCTTTTTTTTGTATATTGAACAAAACTACAAAATGTGCGCTTGTTTTTTTTTTCTTGTCAATTTTTTTGGGGAATATTTTTGTTTTCCAATTTCTTGGATATTTTTCGTCTTCTTCGAAAAAAAATATTTTTGATTAAAAAATTGTTCTTTTTTATAAAAGAAAATAGTTTTTTGTTGAGACAAATTTGATTTAGAAAAATACATTTTTTAAAAAATAATTTTTTTAGAATAATACATTTTTTAGAAAAATACTTATTTAGAAAAATACTTTTTGTTAAAAAAATACTTCTTTCAGAAAAATACTTTTAGAGAAATATATTTTTAAAAAGGTCTTTTTTAAGAAGAATATTTTTTTCTAGAGAAAATTTTGTTTAAAAAAATATATTTTTAAAAAATATTTTTATAAAAAAAAAATTAAAGTTTTTTCTTCACCACAAAAATATTTCGGAAAAAGAGAAAATAATTTTTCGAAAGAAGAGAAAAAAATTCAAATTTGAAGTACCCCCTCTCCCTGAAAAAAAATTGGAAGTCATGTGTGGGCATTATTAAATGTGCTGTGTGTGCAGTATTTTTTTGCGTACGTTATTAATTTGTAAACAGAGAGAAAAAAAACCACGTAGATTGGGCCATGTTATGCTTTGTTGAACACTCATACGGGTCCGTTTATAAAAAAAAAGAACTTTTTTTCTATGCCCATTGTTTAATTGAAAATTATAAAATAAGAAAAAAAAATGAAACAAAAAAAAATATAATGTCATCACGAAAAATATAATAATTCAATTAGCATGCGGCATATTGTGAAATAATATATATTTATTTTGTTGGTTTCATTACTTTGATTCATTTGCATTTTTTATTTTTCCGCCTCTTTCCCTTTTTTTGTTTTCCTACTTTTATTTAATTATTTTATTTTTTCGAAGAATTCTAAAAAAAATGTCATTTGTTTCTTTTTTAAAAACACTTCTTTTTAAAATTCTTTTTCCTTGAAAATTTTTAAAATTTAAGATAAAGAAAAAAACAGTAGTTTAAATTTTTAATTCATAATATTAAAAAAAAAAAAAGGAATTTGGATTTTTTTTAGAATTATTCTTCTGTTATCCAGTTATTATTCCTCTCATGCTTTTAACTAAAAAAAACGTGTTATTTATTCATCTTCTTGAATTTTTTGGTTGAATATCTAAATTAATCGACCAAAAATTGTGTTTCTCAAAAAAAAAAAAAAAAAAAAAATTTGAGAGAATATGTCACGTGTGTTTTATGTTTTCATTCTAAATCACAAAAAAAATTCTATCAAAAATTTATCAATTTTTTATTTTAAAAAAGAAGAGACAAAAAACGAACAAACAAAATTGTTTAAATAAAAAAAAGGTAGAAAAAAAATTTTTTTTTGAAAGGAAAATTTCTGAAAAGAAGAATTTTTTCAAATTAAAAAAGGAAATTTCCTATCTGAAAACAAAAAAAAATTTGCAAAAAATACTGATTTTAAATTAGGATTTTTTGTAAAAGCTTCTTTTCGAAAAAAAAGAAAAAAATTTTTTTTCTGCTAAATCTAAAACAATTTAAAAAGTTTTAGGTGAAATTAATGAAAAATTTTTTCCAAAAATAAGGTATAAAATTAGCAAAATAAAAAAATTCTTTCTTTGTAAAAAGTAAAAAAGAATTTAAAAAAAAAAGAATTTCGAAAAAAGCGAAAATTCTCAAAGTAGAGAAAATGAGTTATTTAGCTAGTAAATTAGGAATGTTTTTCCTTCTCACCTTCATTCCCCCCTCTACAAAAAAAAAAATTATTGACGTGACAAAAAAAATATTTTTTTCCTAGATTTTGATTTTTTTTGTTTTTTTTTTTAAGGGGCGAAAGGGAAAGTAAAAAAAATAAATCGGTGCATCTTATTCCTCTTTTTTTGGAATGTCGTTAGCTTACCAGAAAAAAAATTAAATAAATGAAAAAAAGAAGAAGAAGAAAACAAAAATGCAGTGAGACACGATTTAAAGTGATACGAACAAGTATTCACAATTAAATAATAATAATAAAAAAATATATATATAAATAAAAATAGATTATATCGATTTTCTAGCCTATAGTGGACAACTTTATCACGACTAAGAGTCACGGTGTCTAAATAGTAACAATTTTAGATTTTATATATTTGAATGAGAGAGTTTTTTGTGTGTGTATGTGATGTGTGTGTGTAAATGTGTTGTACGAATGCAATAAGCGTGTATAAATGATGCGCATTGCGCAAAATTAGTTAAGCTCGCAAGTTAATAAAATCGTATTTTGGAACTAATTACGCTTTTTATTTACAAAAATATTTGCCTTACCCCCACTCCATTTCCCCCCATCCCTCTCTTTCTCTCTTTTTTTATTTTTTTTTTTTATTTTTTCATATTTAAGTTTTAATATTCAAAAATTTCATTCAGTGTTATTAAATTTTTTTTATCTAGTTTCCCCACTCCATTTCCCCCTCTCTTCACTATTTTTTCTCGATATTTTATTTTTAATATTCAAAAATAGTTTAAAAAATTTTTTTATCCACTCTTCCCCCTCTCTTTTTCGTTTAATTTTTATTACAATTTTTTATCCACTCTTCCCCCGCTCCGCTTCCCCCCTCTCTTTTTCGTTTAATTTTATTACAATTTTTTACCCACTCTTCCACCCCACTCTATTTCTCCCCTCTTTTTTTCTAATTGTACCCAAAAGTTTTATTTTTAATATTTGTTTTTCATTTTTAATAAAATTTTTTTTTTAATATTAAAATTTATTTTTATTGCAATTTTTTTATCTACTTTTCCCTCCCCCCCCCCCTCCATTCTCCCTCTCTCTATTTTTTTCGTACCTTTCATTCAAAAATTTAATTTTTTTTAAAAAACTTTTTTTATTTTAAATTATTTTTTAAATTTTCAACAAATATTTATTTATTCTTCTCTACTTTATATTTACATTAGATTCAATATTATTTACATAGGAAAATAAATTATTTATTTAGTTATTGATTTTAAAAAATACTATTATTATTTATTCTCCCTTTAATTTTTTATTTATTTATTTATTTACTTCTTTTCTTTTCAGATAATTATTATCGCTGGAACATTAAATTTTCTCTTAGGAAAATGTTCGAAAAAAAAGAAATAAAAAAAAGGAAATCTTAGAGAATTGCTATTATCTGACATCTGGTGGCGAAATTTTGACAGTCGGTAAGTTTTCAAGCAACAAATGATAACTTATCATCCGATGTTACATGTTCTTTTTTTTGCTCTGTTGATAAATAATCGGGTGATGATAAAATTATTGACTATTGTTATGGTAACAGATTCATTAATGGTGATTAAAAATAAAGTTTCACTAATATTTTTTTATAAATGTAATTATTTTTTTTCTAATTTAAATTTTGTTAATTAACAAAATTAAAATGTACTTTTAAACTCAGAAGATAACCTTTTAAAATGTTTCCAAGATGAAACTGTTTTCCTACAGTTGGTAACAAAATTTTCTGACCAATTATTCTTTTACACCAGATAAGTAGATTTCTTATTTATCACTAGTGAGGATAAGGTAGAAATGGACAAACATTTCTCCACCGATGGTAAACATTTTTCAAAAATTGATAGGTATCTACTTTATTAACAAAATTTAATTGTAATTAGTAAAGAATTTTCCTTCAAATTACAAAAAATAGTAAAAATAAAAAATAAAACAAGAATAAAACTAAAATAGCAAAGAAATGTAAGAAAATACTAAAATGGCAAAAAGAATTTAATGAAAACTAAAGAATAAAAAAATTGTTCAAATTAAAAAAGTAAAAATATTTTAACGTAAAATAAAATAGCATAAAAGACTAAAAAATAGAAAAGAAAAGAAATAATAACTAAAATACTAAAGTGGCAAAGAAAAAACTTGAAAACTAAAAAATAAAAATAGTAAAATAAGTGAAATAGCAAAAAAATTAAGAAATAAAAAAATTTAAATAGCAAAATAAAATTATTAAAGTTTGAATTTTTTAATTTTAATTTTTTTTTAGCAAAAAACTAAAAAAGAAAAAAGATTTGAAAGTAAAGTAAAATAGCATAAAAGACTAAAAATAGTAAAATAAGTAAAATAGAAAAAAATTAAAATAGAAAAAAAATTTTTTTAATTTTTTTAGCAAAAGAGGTAAAAGATTTAAAAGTAAAATAAAAGACTAAAAATATAAAAGAAAGGCAAGAAACTAAAATACTAAAATAGCAAAAAAATATTACTAAAACTAATAAATAAAGATAGTAAACTATAAGTAAAATTGTAAAAAATTAAGAAATAAAAAAAATTCAATTGCTAAAATCTGAAAAAAACTAAAATCATAAAAAAATACGAAAAGAATAAAAAAAATAAATAGCAAAATTAAATTACAAAATTAAAATATTAAAACAAGTAAAATAACTAGCAAAAATAAAAATATTTAAATAGCCAAAACTTAAATTGAAAAATGCTAAAAAAACTAAGAAAATAAAATAGCAAAAAATTTGCATAGCAATAAATAAAAAATTAAAATAATAAGACAAGTGAAATAGTCAAAAGCTAAGAAACTAAAAAAGTAAAATAGCATTAAACATAAAAATAGCAAAATAGTAAGAAATTGAAATAATAAAATAGCAAATGGAAAAGTAGAGTAAATAAAATGTTAAAAAACAATCAAACAAAAATTACAAATAGCCTAAAATTTACAAACAAAAATAGCAATAAACTAAAATAGCAAAAAAGTAAAAAAAACCAAAAGATAAAAAACTAAAAAAATAAATTAGCAAAAAATGAGAAAAGCAAAAAACTAAATAAATTAAAAAATCAAAAGAATTAAACAAGTAAAATAGCAATAAGGTAAAAAAACAAAAATATTTTAATAGCAAAGAAAGGAACTTAAATTGTAAAAAACTAAAAATACAAACAAATATAGTAGCAAAAAACTAAAACACAATAAAAATATTTAAATATCAAGAAAAAAATAAATTGCAAAAAATTTGAAAAAAATGATTAGAAATTAAAAAACTGGAAAATTAAGATAAAAATAAAATAGCAAAAAAAACTGAAAAAAGAAAAATTTAGACTAAAATGTATAAAATAATTGCTAACTTAAAAAAATTGTTTATCAAAAAAACTATAAAATTAAAAAAAAAATTCTCTATTTTTTCCATCGAAAATTATTAATTATCACAATTCAACATTAGGAACAATTAAAATTTTTTTTCTTTTTAAATACAAGTCACTCAATGATAATTATGATAAAAAAAAGTAGGAAAAACCTTGACGCCAAAACAACAATTATTGATAAAGTTTTCTATTCGCAATTTTATTTATTTTTTGTCTTTCCTTCTTCTTCTGTTTTTTTTTCTTTTATTTATAAAATAAAATGCAATTTGTGCGCGAGTAATGTTGACACTGTTAGAAAAAGAAAATGAAAAATCAAATATTTTTATTATTTTTTTTAATAATTGGTGTATTTTTATCAGGTGGAAATTGTTTTTTATTTGGTTCACTTTCTGATCTTGTGTTTGGCAAGGGACCAAATTTTAATCTTACTCGAACATGTTTTAAGGTGACAAAAAATTTACATCTATCGGTGTTAAGTAACGATTGTGAATTGGTGATTAATGAGGAAACGGAGCCAATTAATAAATTGGCGAAAGCAAATCGTGAGGATAGTTTAAAAAAGCCATTTTCGGGTAACATTGAACTTAATTGGTTGGTTGGTGAATCGTACAAGAGTTCTTATAATAATAAGACATCAAATATTCGAGTAGGTTTTTGTTTCTTTATTTGTTGTTTAACTGCTATTTATTCTATTCTACTATTTATTATTTATTTTTATTATATTTTTTTCTTTTATTTATTTTATTTAGTATTTTGTTGTTTTTAATACTTTTTCCTTTTATTCAGTTTATTTCTTTATTTCATTTTTATTTTTTATTATTTTTCTATTTTATTATTGTTATTATTGTTATTATTGTTATTATTGTTATTATTTTTATTAATATATTAAAAGTACAGTCAACTAAAATAACTTTTTAAAATTAAATAATTAACATTTGTAATTAAACATTATTATTTTGATTTTAATTAATATAATAAAAGTACAGTCGATTAAAAAAATTTTTTTGTAAATTAAATTAAAGTATAATCACCTTAAGAAGTTTTTTAAGTTGAAAAGAAATAAAATAATTTATAATTCAATACCTACCTATTAGTATTTTAATTATAATTAAAATAATAAAAGTAAAGTCAACTCAAAAATTTTTTTTTAAATTAAACAACTTATAACTCAAGAATAGTATTTTAATTTTAATTAATACAATAAAATTACAGTCAACTAAAAAAACTTATTTTTAAATTAAACAATTAAAATTTATAATTCAACATTAGATATTTCAATTTTAATTAATGAATAATAAAAGTACAGTCAACTTAAAAAGTTTCTTTTTTAAATTAAGCAACTAAAATTTATAACTTAATAAAAGTATTTTAATTAATACAATAAACGTACAGTCAACTAAAAACATTTTTTAAAATTAAATAAATAAAATTTATAATTAAATATTTGTATTTAAATTAAAATTTTTATCATGAAAGTACAGTCAACTAAAGAAGTTTTTAAAATTAAATTAAATAAAAGTAAAATCAACTAAAAAAGTTTTTTAAATTTAAACAAATAGAATTTATAATTCAATATTATGATTTAAATTTTAATTAATATAATAAATGTACAGTCGACTTAAAAATTTTTTTTTTTAATGAAACAATTAAAATTTATAATTCAACATTAGCATTTTAATTTTAATCAATAAATAATAAAGGTACAGTCAATTAAAAAAAATGTGTTTATATTAAATAAGAGTACAGTGAACTTCAAAAGTTCTTTTTTTAAATTCAACAAATAAAATTTATAATTAAATATTTGTATTCAAATGTTAATTTATATAATGAAAGTACATTCAACTGAAAAATTTTCTCTACAAACAAATAAAATTTACAATTCAATATTAGTATTTAAATTCTAATTAATATTTTTTTAATTAAATAAAAGTACAGTCAACTAAAAATCTTTTTAAAATTAAATTAAATAAAAACAATCAACTTAAAAAGTTTTTTTTTAATTAAACAATTAAAATTTATAATTCAACACTAGATATTTTAATTTTAATTAGTAAATAATAAAAGTACAGTCAACTCGAAAAGTTTTTTTTTTTAATTTTAAACTAAAATTTATAATTCAACACTAGATATTTTAATTTTAATTAGTAAATAATAAAAGTACAGTCAACTCGAAAAGTTTTTTTTTTTAATTTTAAACTAAAATTTATAATTCAACGTTAGAATTTGAATTTTAATCAAAAAATAATAATGAAAGTACAGTCAATTAAAAAATGTGTTTTTATTAAATAAGAGTACAGTCAACTTCAAAAATTCTTTTTTTAAATTAAACAGATAAAATTTATAATTCTATATTTTAATTTTAATTAATACATAATAAAAGTACAGTCAATTCAAAAAATTTGTTTAAAAATAAATAAAATTGCATTTAACAAAAAAAAATTGTATTTTAAATTAATAAAAGTACAGACAACTTAAAAAGTTTTTTTTTTAATTAATAAAAGTACAGTAACATAAAATAATTATTTTAGATAAAATAAATAAATAAACGAAAATTTCCACTAAATATTTCTTTTTTTACAGTTTAGTTTTTTAATTTCTTACTCGGACGAACCACTGCAAAATAAAATAATCAGACCTGTGGAGATGAACAAGAAATATGCAAATGATGCTGAGAGACGATTTGCAAAAGAAGTCACGGCATTGTTTGTTGCCTCAAAGCCTGATGCTCCCTTGAAAGCTGTGAGTGTTTATTATCAATTTTCCCCCACTTTTCTCCCTTCTTCCCTCATTTTTCTCTTCTATTAAGCATTTTTATTTTTTATCGTATATATAGAATGCCCTTTTTGCAGAAAAAAAATTTTAATCAATTTTTTTAAAAGTTAATAATTATATTATAGTAATAATAGTAATTATTATTTATTATTATTGTTATTATTCAGTGAATAATTAATTTATTATTAAGTTCTCACTCCCCCCTCCCATTTTCTTAATCGGTCTTCTAAAAAAAAAAAATAATAATTTCTCTAATAAATGTTTTTTAATTTTTATGTTGCAGGGTAAGGTGATAAACAAGAAAAGTGTAACATCAAAAATGAAACCTCCAAAATTTTTGAGATGCGGCAAACCACTTTCATTTAAAATTCGTTTTTACACAATTGATGTTCCAGAACGTCGTGCATTGGATTATATGTATTTGATTTATAAAGGAACAGTTAAGGGTTGTTGAGAAAAATTCTTTCGTTTTTTTTCTATAAAAATAACAAATTTTGTAAATTCTAGTTTTTTGACTAAAAGAAAAAAAATATTTTTAAAATTAAATAATTTTTTGAAATTCTACTTCTGTAATTCATTTTCGAAAATGAAATTATTTATCTTTTTTAAATTATTTTTTATTTTTTTACTCATTTATTTTGTTTACTGCAAATAAATAATTTATTGTAAATAAAAGTCAGCAAGAATAAAAAATTTATCCAAAAGTACAAAATTTAAGGGAAAAAAGAAAAAGAGAAAAAATTTAATTTAAAAAAAATTTAACTAAAAATATTGTAAAATAAAAGAATATGAAATGATTTTTGTTAATGTCAATTTTCTTATGCGAATAAAAGAATCTCAATAACCGGATGTGTCGTGTTATTCTATAAAAAAAAATTCGTTCCCTTCCTCTCCTCTCCAAACGCCATAAACTGCTTTTAGAACAACAATAAGTTTTTTTTAACTTTTTGTTTCAAAGAAATGAAGATTTTTTCTTTTTCATGAAAGAGTGAGATTATATAGACCGAATGTCAAATGAGTCGCCGAAAATGAAAAAAAAAAATAAAAAATAATTTACAAGAATAAGAAAGAAAAAATGAAAATTTTTTTTTGCCATTTCACGCGCTCTTCTTTTCAAATAGGCGCAAACATTCTTAAATCTCAGATATTGAATTACATTTCTTTTACTACTAGGACAATAGGATCTCCTTCATACAACACTTTCTTAGAATTTTTTTCGCCCCCCTTACCCCCTCCTACCACCTTGTCATATTTTTTTTACATAAGGAAAGAAAACTATTAAGTTTTCGACAAAGAAGAATATTTTTATATTTTCGAATTTTTTTTTCTCACGAGAGAATTACAAGAAAATTCTAATTTTTAATTTATTTTTATTCATTAAATCAAATTTATTTAATTGTAATTATTTTTTTTTAATTTAAAAAGAAAGAATAAATTTTAATTTTATTAGGAAAAATAGTAAAATTAAATAATAATTTAAAAGTACTTTAAGTTTAATGTGTCAAAGTAAAAAAATTGTAAATAGAAGAAGAGTATAAAAAATTGCGGAGTGGGGGCAATGAGAGTGACAGAGAAAGAACTCTGATATCTCTCTCACTCTCATTGCCCCCACTCCGGCGCCTGCGCAGCGCTACTTACATACAAATTAATTTTAAGGCAATGCCTAAATTAAATATTATAAAATATTATTAAATAAATATAAAAATACCAATTTAATAAATAAATACTAAATAATTAAACGAATTCTGAATAAATAAATCAATTTTTAATATAAATATTAATAAATATTATTAAATCAATATAAAAATACCAATTAAATAAATAAATTTAAAATAATTATTTATTTTGAATTTATTCATTTAATTGTTATCTTTTATTTGTTTATAAAAATACCAACGAAATAAATAAATATTGTAAATAAATAAACAAATTTTTAATAAATATATAAATGGGAAATAAAATAAATAAAATACGAAAGTAATTTTAATATTATTTATTTATTATATAATACCATATTTATAAAAGTTGTAAAAAATTACAATTTTTTTTTCGAAAATAATAAATATATACAGATATACACTTATAACATTATAATGTTCGAGTAATATACTTTTTTTTATTTTTAATACCATTATTATTATCATTATATACAGTCTTAAAAAGTTTTCGTTCAATTACATTGAAACTATTAAAACACTAAATAAAATATTTTTTTTTAAAACAAATATACAATTTTTGCCGAAATTATTATTTTAATTTTAATTGAAATAAAATTTGTTTACATTTATTATAATTAAATTTTCATATTAAAATAAAAATTACTTTATATTTCTTAATTTAACTTTCTAATTTTTTCTAGTTAAACTAGTTTTCAATTTTTTTTTTTAATTTAAATATTTTAATTTTTCTATTTAATTTAAAAAAAAAAAAAATTTCAATCAATTCTGTTCAATTAAGCATTTTTAATTTGGATCTAAATATATATTTTGTTCTTCTACTTAGAAATCTACTCTTTTTTTAATGAAGCACTTTTTAATCATCAAATTCAAAAAATTTTTCTAACATAACCTAAAAAATGTATTTTTCGTTTTCTGTAAAGTTTCGGTAAAAATATTTTTTAAATTATTCGAAATATTTTTGTTTGTACTTAAAAACTGGCAGTATTTTTTTATCTTCATTTAAATTAAATGTTACATATTTTGAACCATATTTTACAAAAAAAAAAAAAATTCAACTTAACATATATTTACAATATTGGCACTGAATTAAAGATGGTGGAAATTTATCGTTAGACATTTTTTCACACGACAGTCGTAGAAGTAAACAAATTTCCTCTTGAGCGTAATATCTCTAGGCGCAGGCGTGTTTGAGAAAAACCGTTAGAGAACTGACCAATCACAGCGAGTGTGTCAGGAGCGTCTCTCAAAATCCAGGGGCCTAAAGCTTTTTATTTTTTTTTTAATTCTTGCACAAAAAAGTGTAGAATAAAAACGTCTTGTTGTGATTGGCCAATCAAGCAAATCCAGTGACGGCTCTAGAATCGGGGCCCCTTCTTTTTTTTAATTCCCCTGAATTTAAAAATTTTTTTTTCTATTTTATTCAATTTTTTATTGAAAAAAAAGTTTTTAGAAACGGAGAGAATACGTAATTTAAGAGGGGTTTTTTTCTCCTTTTCCTTTTCTTATAGAAATTCGCCGAACTCGAAAGATTGGACTAATCACAGAGAAAATCCAGGGACGGCTCTATAACCGTCGCGTCGCCCCCTTAAAACGTTTAAATTCCAAAAAAATTTTCTTGAGTCTTCCCTCTCCAAGTTTGAGATCAAAAATTACACATTCCCCCTCTTCTCAAACACGTGTCTCACTTCCACTGTGATGTTTTCGATGTTTTCTATGCTTTTTGTGACTTCTGTGCGGCATTTGACTGTTGATGACAATTGGATGTTGATGCAGTAACGGATGCTGGGGGGGCGATAGTCTGCCGAGATGATGCAACTGATGAGGAGTGGGAGTAGTGGAACCAGTGCTGTAACATCTGACAACGGGCACTGGTACTGCATGCGCATGTGGATGACACTTATGTGGCGGTTGTTTACAAGGGGGGAAACGTCGCCAAACACTTATGGCATTTGGCCACCAAATCCAAGCAGCTGAAATTACACCGGCACCCAAAAAGACAATAATTCGAAGAATAAAGACTTGGAGGAGTGGTTTTGACGTGACTTTAGGCTCTTTTGTTGGTTCCGGTGCTCTGAGCCATGAATCCCGTCCCCACCACTCGTAGAATATGGTGCAGGTGAGACAGATCATAACGAGACCGTAGAAGCAAATGAAGGCGCCAATTCTGATGACAAGTTTCTTTTGACGTTTGTAGAGTTCGGCTGGTGATTTGGCGCCATCGCGTTGATTTCTGATGAGTGGATTTGGCTGGAGGGTTTTTAGTACTTGACTTGGACTGACTGAGGGACGGGGGAATAGAAGAGCGGCAGTTCCAACGAGAAAGAAGGTGGAGCCCAATGTTAAGTAGACAAACTGAGGAGCTAGTACGAGGACCAGCAGTGATCGTGTACTCTGTTGTCCAACAAAGCAGCTGCCTGTAACAGAAAAAATAATGGAAGAATTAGTTTTCAATTTTAGGATGAAAGGATTTTAAAATGTTTTTTATTTCGCTCTGAACAAGATTTTGTTTTAATTAGTAGTTTTGGAGTTAGGAATAGTGTTATAGAAGTTATACATATCTACTGCGCAGCTGTAGAAGCCATATAGACTTACTGCGCACCCATAGCAGCCATACAGATCGACTGCGCAACTATAGAAGTCATACAGATCTACTGCGCACCCATAGAATCCATACAGATCTACTGCGCAGCTGTAGAAGCTATATATACTTACTGCGCAACTATAGAAGTCATACAGATCTACTGCGCACCCATAGGAGCCATACAGATCTACTGCGCAACTATAAGAGTCACATGAACTTACTGTGCACCCATAGGAGTCATGCAGATCTACTGCGCATCCATAGGAGCCATACACATCTATTGCGCAACTATAGAAATCATATGAAGCTACTGTGTACCCACAGGAGCCATGCAGATCTACTGCGCAGCCATAGAAGCCATACATATCTACTGCTCAGCCATATAAGCCGTACAGATCTACCGCGCACCCATAGGAGCCATAGAAATCTACTGCGCAACTATCGAAGTCATATAAAGTTACTGTGCGCTCATAGGAGTCATGCAGATCTACTGCGCAGACATAGAAGTCGTACAGATCCACTGCACATCTATAGGAGCCATAGAGATGATCTACTGCGCAAGTACGGATTCATTGCAGATTTCTAGTACAACTATAAAAGCCAAACACAACTGTTTCGCCGCTATAAAAGCTGCAATGATCCATCGCGCAGCTGTAGAAGCAATGCAAAACTATTAAGCAACTATAGAAGCCGTAATGATCTACTGCGCATATATAAAAGTTATACAAGTCTTCTGCGTAGCTGTAAGAGCCGTATGGATCTACTGCGCAACTATAGAAGCCATATGTAGTTACTGCGCAGCTATAATAGCTATAGAGATCTACTGCTCAGCTCCTAAAGACATAATGATCGATTGCGCAGTCATAGAAGTAAAAAAGATTCATTTCGAAGCCAGAGGAGCCGTATGGATCTACTGCGCAGCTCCTATAGATATAGTGATCTATTGCGCATTCATGGAAGCCACACAAATTTATTGCGCATGACTGGATTCCCTACAGACTTCTTCCGCATCTGTAGAAGCGAAACGAAACTATTGCGTAGTTATAGAAGCTGTAACGATCTATCGCGCACCCATAGAATCCATTAAGATCTATTGCGCAGGAATAGAAGTCTGAGAGATCTATTGCGCAGCTGTAGAAAGATCATAGACTACATTAATTTAGAAAACCTTTAGATTTACTACACAATTAGATGACTTTTACTGATCCATAGATCTATATCATCAATAGAAAACATAGATCTACTGCGCAGCTGCAGAAGATATAGCGATCTATGACGCATGTGCAGGAGTAGTAATGATCTACTGCGCATCTACAGGAGATAATTAAGTCTATTGCGCAACTATAGAAACTAAGCAGTTTTAATCCAATCTGCCAAAATGATCTACTGTGCATCTATAAAATTATATTAAATAATGATTAAAGTTATACGGATCTACTGCGCATCTACAGGAGATAATTAAGTCTATTGCGCAACTATAGAAACTAAGCAGTTTTAATCCAATCTGCCAAAATGATCTACTGTGCATCTATAAAATTATATTAAATAATGATTAAAGTTATACGGATCTACTGCGCATCTAAAATTGTCAGATATCTTACGAGCAATTATTGAACAATATATAAACATATGTATAAAGTTGTGCAATAAATCCAATGGGTAATAAAAGTTTGCGCATTGAATCTACACTTACATGAATGCGCAATAGATCAAATTGGTAATAAAAGTCTGCGCATTGGATCTACACTTACATGAATGAGCAGAAGATCCAATAGGTAATAAAAGCTTGCGTTTTGAATCTACACTTACGGGAATGCGCAATAGATCAAATTGGTAATAAAAGCCTGCGCAATGGATCTACACTTTCATGAATGCGCAGAAGATCAAATTGGTAATAAAAGCCTGCGCATTGGATCTACACTTACATGAATGCGCAATAGTTCCAATAGGCAATAAAAGCTTGCGCATTGAATCTACAATTTCATGAATGCGCAATAGATCCAATTCCTGTGTATAGAGATTAAAAACATTTGTAAAATAATACATATGCTGCGCAGTAGATTTAAATCTACTCTTTGCTGCGCAATGAAAGAAATACGGAAGCTAAACATGCGCAGTAGATTTTTAAGGGTTGTGTGTTGGATCTACTTCCATGCGCAATAGATCCAATTATTGTATATGGAGATGAGAAAAATTTGTAAATGGAAATTTAAGTTGCGCAGTAGATTTAAAAGTTATCTATGGCTGTGTAATTATAAAATTTGAACATGCGTACTAGACTTTTGAGTGTGCGCATTGCAACTAATTGAACTCTACGGCTGCGCACTGAGCTTATTCGAACTCTAAAGCTGCGCACTGTGAATATTTTAACTTTCTTGCTGCGCACTGGAAAAATTTGAACTTTATACCTGCGCAGTAAGAGTGTTCAAAAAGTTTAGTTGCGCACTAGATATTTTCAAACTCTAAAGCTGCGCAGTAACTACATTCGACCTCTCTGACTGCGCAGTAGACATATTCAAATTATATACCTGCGCAGTAAATAAATTTAAGCCTTCCAGCTGCGCACTAGACATATTTCAACTTGTAAACCTGCGCAATTGACCTATTTCAACTTTTATGACTGCGCAATAAAAAATATTCAAACTTTATGACTGCGCACTAGACACAAACAATATTTACGATTGCGCAAATTCTCTACAATTTTACAACCAAACATGCATATAAATAAAAACAATTCCAATAGCTCGTAAAATCTAAACGACCCTTAACTTTACCGAAATAGGTAATATACATTCACGTTTGGCTTTTATATTTTTCAACGAATGAAGACAAAAGAAAACAAAACAGAAAAAAATAAGAAGAAGAAGAAGAATCAAAGTACATAACCGCAATAGAGAGAACGCGTAAACGCGCGAGAGAGGCTTCTATGCAAATCTTTCAAGGATCTTTTGCCCCTCTCGACCCTTGGTGTGGTTTTAAAGTCGTGAAAAAAGAGAGGAACATTATATAGAATGCGTTTAGCGGCTCTTTCGCGACGTGCCTTTTCTTATATATATACGAGAGACCCTTTTTACATGAGAATTATAAGGGCGGCACAATGTGCAACCGTAGAAAAAAGTGTCTCTTATTTTTTCTTCTTCTTAATAATAAAAAAACGAATCCCACCGAATGCCCATTAAATACATCGAGGAGACACTTGCAAAACGATAGGGGGACATTAAATAGTCTCGCGAAACAAAGAACTGATCACTCGTGGGGGTGTTGTGAGGGAGAGGGGGTGGGGGTTGATTTAAACGATAGAGTACTATATTCCAGTCGATATATATTTTTAAATACAAAGCCACAGTTTATTAAATTACTCGAATGGTCTAGGAATTATAATTTCTGCGCAGTAATTATTTTCAAACTTTATTTCTGCGCAGTATGCAAATTCATAGTCTATACTTGCGCAGAAACAGTATTTGCAATATTTGGCTGCGCAGTAAGAATATTTGAACTCTACAGCTGCGCACTATACATATTCTGACTCTAAAGCTGCGCAGAAAGAATATTTGTACTCTATAGCTGCGCACTAAACATATTCTGACTTTACAGATGCGCAGTAATAATCTTCAAACGTTATTTCTGCGCAGTAAGTATATTCATATTCTATATCAGCGAAGAGACATTATCTCAACTTTCTGGTTGCGCAGTAAGAAAATTATAACTTTCTAGCTGCGCACTAATCATATTCTGACTCTAGAGCTACGCAGTAATTATTTTCAAACGTTATTTCTGCGCAGTAAGTATATTCATATTCTATACCTGCGCAGAAACAATATTTGAACTCTCTAGCTGCGCACTAAACATATTCTGACTCTAAAGATGCGCAGTAATTATTTTCAAACGTTATTTCTGCGCAGTAAGTTTATTCATATTCTATATCTGCGCCGAAACAATATTTGAACTTTATGGTTGCGCAGTAAACATATTGTGACTCTAAACCTGCGCAGTAAGTCTATATGGACTCTAAACCTGCGCAGTAAGTCTATATGGACTCTATACCTGCGCAGTAAGTGTATTCGAAGTATAAACCTGCGCAGTAAGTCTATATAGACTCTACGCCTGCGCAGTAAGTGTATTCGACCTCTATACCTGCGCAGTAAGTGAATTCAAACTTAAAACCTTCGTTTAAGTCAAGTGCAATACTTTCGAAAGTGCATAAAATTATTTTTAACTCAAAAAACATGACACAAAACATAGAATTGTTAATTTTTTTTAAATGTAATATCAAATTTCAAAATTCTATATTTCTGTAAACGTATAAAAATAATCGCAAGTATTTTTTCACCGGTAAACATCAAAATGTACATTCAAAAGAAGAAGGATATTGTACGAAATAACCTTTCAACACCTTTCGAAGGTGATCGACCTACTCGAGGGCTTCAGTTCTTATAAGTAGAGGAAAAAAGAAAGGGGGAAATATGGAGGAAGGTACAGGGATGCAGCATCCAAACAGCGAGGTAAGGCACGCGGTAAGGTGGATTTGGGGGGGGGTGGTGGAGTTGGAGAGGAGAGTAAAGGAAGGACCAAGGAAGGATTCTCCATCACGAAGAAGAGAGGTGAGGGTTGGGATGAAGGGGGAGGAGCATAGTTGTAAAGAAGAAGAGAAAATGAGAAGCAATTTAGATGAGAACGTGTAGATACCCCAGTATATACATACAGGTATATATATACATATAGATATGTATATATGTATGTATATATACAAGTCGTACGAGTTCGTAAAGTTCTACTATATAGTTGGTCCAACTCTTTATATATTCGAACCCAGGGTCTGATCTCATTGAGCAC